GTCTCCAAAAGGTTGGAGCTTACAAACTTCACTTCTCAGTGAGTGTGGTGAACTGTGCCAGTCCAGGTCAACAGACCTGCTTCCTGTAGTTCTAACATTGGGATCTGGCACTTTGGCACAGGTGGCTGGTTAGTTTCTGGTTTTCTAAGGTCTCTTTCAAAATTCTGCTTTTGGTAAATTTTAGAAAACATCCTTGGTGCATTTCAGAAAACTCCTTTGTCCCAGGACCTGTGAGGGGGGCTAACTCTTAGTTTATGCTATCTGAAGATGAAATAACCCACTACTATGCACAACGAATGTACACCAATAAAAAAGGGTAAATAACGATACTAGCTTGAAATGTGTTGTAGACAACCAGGGCTGCCTGCCTGATATTTTCTGAGGCCTCTTGCTTGCCAGAACCCAGTTCTGGTCCAGGTAGTTCTACCAGGAAGCAATCAATGATTCCTTTATGTTATCCTAAGACCGAGGTCAGTAAGCTCTTCCTGTAAAGGTCAAAGGATTAAGTTTGGGTTTTGTGAGCCAAGAGGCAAAATTGAAGATACTAGATGGAATGTTCACACATTACCACAAAACATTATTCTTTTGACTTTCCCCCATTTTTAGTTTGTGGGTGTGGTGTTTTGAATGAAAATGGTTCCCATAGGCTCACAGGTTGTAGCACTATTAGGAGGTGTGGCCTCTTTGGAGGAAGCATTGAGGTTTCAGAAGCTCTAGCCAGACTCGGGCTCACATGCTCTTCCTGCTACCTGTGGATCTAGATGTAGAACCCTCAGCTACCTCTCCAGTGCCATGTCTGCTGGTGTGCCACCATGGCTCTCGTCATGATGATAGTGAACTAAACCTTTGAACTGTAAGCTAGCCCCAATGAAATGTTTTCCTTCATAGGAGTTGCTGTGGTCATGATGTCTCTTCACAGCAGTAGAAACTTGAAGACAGGAGAGTACTAACTCAGGTGGAAGGCTGAATTTGGCTGGCATAATTTTGGGGCCCTTTCCTGAACTAATCCCACCAGCTTTTTCAGTCTGTCTGTCCATTAAGGTTGTGAGATTGTAGGGGATGTGTGGTTCTGGACCAGTTAGTGCTGGATGACTGGAGGCAGGTGCTAGCTGCATTCAGAGCCTCTCATTTTCAACCTTGAATGACATGCCATCGGCCACAGGGCAGCAAAGAGGAAAAGCCCTCAGTGAAGACCGTGAAGCAGACGGTACAAGTGTGGAGCTTCTAGCAACCCATTTACCCAGTAACTTGTCAGGTGAGAAAAATAATGCTTGGATCACGCAGGTAGCGATCAGTGTCTTTAGTGCAGGTAGCGATCAGTGTCTTTAGTGCTCGTGGTCTCCTTCCCCGATCCGGTGTGCTAAGATGTCAGTACTCTCCCCCCTCTCCTCCCACTTTCTGAGCACCTCCCTTCTCCCATGCTGGGGCGCAGATGGCATTTGTTCTCTGTGAACATTCTACACCCATCTGCCTCACCTGCTGTTAGATTTGACCCCAAATTAGTCAGTGTGGGAGCTGGCCAGTGACCCATGATCTCTTTGTCTTGGCTCAAAGGATGAGTGGGACCAATCAGATTGATTCTCAGGTAAAGGAGCTAACAGATGACACAATGGTTCAGTGGGAAAACATGCTTGCTGCATGAGCCTAGGGACCCAAGTTCGAAAGTTCAATTCCTGATACTCATGTAAGAGATGGAAGGAGAGGCTAACTCCATAAAGTTATTCTCTGGATGCACACATGAAACACACACACACACACACACACACACACACACACACACACCTGTGCGTGCACACACATACACACCTGGTGTGTACACACACACACACACACACACACACACACACGTAAAAATTCATTTGGCAGAGGTATGTTATGAAAAGAACAGAAAAGGAACTATGACACTTTTTTTGGTTTCTGGCAAGGTGGGAAGGAGTGAGCACAAACACCATTAGAGCCAATTAGCGGCGAAAGAAAGCTGTGCAGCTAGGGCAGCCCAAGTGCTGGCTGTCGATGCTTGTTTACCTCCTGCCCCTTTCTTTGAAAGCTCAGCTTGTGTGGCTCCACTTCCTGGACTCCTTATCCACACAGCCAGCCCCCTGGTACCGGGGATGGAGCTAGGGCCTTATGCATGGGAGGCAAGCACTCTACCATGGCTGATTCACTGAGATGCAGGTCTCCCATTTCCATTCCTAGCACATGGTGCAGTTACCCTGTGGGCCCTTTCAGGCCAGAGTCATTTTAGAATGTAGGTCTCTGTCCTGGGCAGCATTCTCCTAGTTTCCTTGTTCTTAAGATACAGGTCTGGATTGGGGAAGGGAAGACAGGAAGCCCAGACCACTGGAGAACAGTGCAGAGCGCCTTTCTCCAAAGGCTCCCCCCCCCCCCAGTGAGTGCCACCTGCACCCACGTGGTTCTCCGTGAGCTATTCCGGGCAGAGGCTGAGGACTCATTTAGCCTTTTCAAGCATCTGGATTTGTGCTTCTCTGGAGCCACAAGAAGCAACGTGGGAGGGGGGCCAACTACAAAAAAAATTCCTTCCAAGTGGACAGAAGGTGACCATGTAGTCAGTCCCCTGGGGGTATAAAAGGATAGAAATAGAATCAAGGTCAAGGGGCCTCTGAGGAGCTGGAACTGTGATACAAGGAAGGATGATGGAGATTTCAGACTCTCCCCATGATCTGTCAGCAACCGGAGCAGGAGGAACCCAGGGGCTGGTTGATGATATGGCTGAACTGAAGGGGGGGAGGGGCTGACCAACTGGGAGGTGGGTGGAGCATGGGTTATCATAGGTGCAGGGCTAGTCAGCATTTGGGGACAAGAGGGCTCTCATCACACTGGATGCAGGCTGGATGTGAGTGACCCGAGAAACTACAGGATGCTTGGAGCTTGTTCAGAGCTGGGAATCTGTGAAGGAGATCTTGGAAAGGCACAGAGCCAAGAAGTTGGAGAGTGGCGGTGGCAGGGCAAGCTCAGGGGCTCTGTGGGAAGTAAATGGCCCTGGGGTGTGCCTGGGAGGCTGAGCACACATCTGGAGCTCAAGGCAGACCCTGCCAGTCATTTATGTGTAAGTGGTCATTGAGATGTGGAGTGGGAGAGGTTATGTGGAGAGTCGAGAAGAGGAACACAGCTCGGGGAACGTTTAAGGGTGGAGCCTTTGGAGGAAAGGGGAGGGAGGAGAAGGGTGGCAGGAAAGAACATGGGTTAGTTTCTGCAGACTCTACATCAGGAAAGGGTGACACCACAGCAGATGTCATTAACGTGGGGCTGAAGTTGGAGGTCCCTGGTGAGTTGCAAAAGCTCCTGGGTCCAAGAAATGAGAGCTGTGTGCTTAGACAGTAGCTAGGACCCTGGGGTAGGAGGCAGGAATTAGGCCAAGGATGGGCATGGGGACTTGGACAAATAGAAGTGTCCTTTAGAGCATGCTTCAGTCATAGTCACATCTCATAGGATCACCCTTTCCCCAACCAAAGATGCCTTCTGGCCGTATCCTCTAAGGTCACATGTGGGCTGAGGCCTCATGTCTTACACGCAGTTCAGAGATAGTCTCTAGTCAGATTTGTAGGATGGGCTGAGGGGCTAAAGCCGACAAGGACCCAAGGAATGGGTCATGCTCCCAGGTTTTCCTCATGTCGCTTGCGATTTTCTCCCACCCCATCTCTATTCTGTCCACCGTCTTGTCTGTGATCCTGTCGTGTCCTAGGAGTGAGATGAGCAGTAGTGCTTTATCAGCTATGAGAACAAGATCCCTGGAGGCGTCTGCTGGAGATGATCTCTTTGGGCTCTGCTGCCTTCTCCACCTCACTCAGACTCTGATCCTGGTGTGGGTTGAAGCACGTGCCCATGGGATAGGGTCCGGCCATGAGATGATTATCACACTTGCCACAAACACTGAGTGGGCTGTCAATCCTATCACCTCCACTCCCACTGGGTGGTGGGTCCCCCAAAACCTAAGCTAGCTTTTGAAGCAAACCTGGCTCTCTCCTACCCAAAAGGTCAATGCTCAATTACTTGACAGTGGGGGCTACCCACTCACTGATTTCTGACTTTACCCATGGATCTCACCTCTGTGAGAAGGCAGGGCCTGTTCCCTAGCTTCAAGGATGTCAGTAGGTACACAAGGGGCCTTCTTTGGCATATGTAGCAATATTTCCAGTGCCTGCTCTAACTGCTCCTCTGCATCTGGATGCTTAGGAGAGGCCAGTTCTGAAAACCCAGATCCCAGCTCACTTTGACAGTCACATTCGTCTAAGCCCTGCTACCATTTTCCTTTTAACCATATAAAATTACCATGAAAGGCTTGGAATTGTGATGCTTCAGGCAGACTGCTCCCCTGGTAGAGGACAGAACTTTTGGTTCACACCACCTATCTATGTTGGTACCAGTGACTGGCCCTTCCAGTTTCAGGGTGTTTAGATAGCTGCCCTTCTAAGGGCGCATTGGTCACAGTTTATCACACCCACGCAGGTTGGATAAATGTGGTTGGTATTTTCTTTTTAGAGACCAAATCACTTACGATCATGGAATGTATGTCTTTACTCGGAGCTAAGGAATGGGACTCCTAGGTGTGAGTTTTCCCAGCTTCCATATCCTCAGCTTCTTGGGTGAGTATATCCTTTTGTGTAATGTTTTACCAGTTGCACTGGTAGTCAGCATGTTCCCTGAGGCCCTCAGAGCATCACAGATGCATCTAGGAAGGCTGATAGAAAAAAAAAAGTCTGTGCTTTTGTGGCTTTTAAAAGCCAACAAAGCTCTAAAGTCCTTTAGCTTTGCCAACAGATCCAAAGGACAGTGGCCAAAGGATAGTGACACCCATGGATGAAGGAGAGAACCACCTCTACCCCTCCCCCACCCCTCACCAAAAAAATCCCAAAGGGCAGCAACTATCAGAGATGCAGTTAAGACAAAGCTAGCAAGGTGAACAGAGCCTATTCTAAGGGATTCAGAAGGGGGGAGGGTCTATAGGAATTACAGGCCAAAGATGGACAATTAGCACAGTCTGAACAAAATATAAGTACTCTTACCAATAAATAGGTTTCAAAATGATAAATAAGGCTGGCTCTCCCCTGTCAGCAGCCTGGAATCCCAGTGAGAAGTGATGGGCACAGACAGGCACAATGAATTATGTACAGAGTGTAAACAGTAAGGCCCCGGGGGAATAGTGAGGGCTGGGCCAGGTGAAGGGTGCATACACGTTAGGAATGGGCTTAGGGTGAAAAACAACAGGTTTGTGTGGCAGGCATCCAGCACGCCAAGACACTTGCAGTATTGCCGGTCCTATGGTAGGTCTACTGATTTCCTCCGGGTGGCAGGAGGAGTAGAAACTGCCCACTGATCTTTTCCCTAGGAGCAGCAAAACAAGAATCTGTACCTTCCTCCCCAAGGCGAGTGGCCATGCCTAAAATCTTCTGCCCAGACCTCAGGATCAGCTGACTAAGCAGTTTCTCAGACTGGATGAGAAGAGTGAATCCTGCAGTCTTTCCCTTCCAGGAAGAGCTCTGGATACCTATGTCCAGCAGGGGGCGCCATAACCCACCACCTAGGCTGTGCTCCGACTCCAGGTCCAGCTCCTGTTGCTCTAGGGAAGGGGCAGGGGCTTGGTTAGAGTCCTGGATCCAAAGGCAGCATCCCCAAATGCACTCCACCCTTGGTTCCAGCACACCTCTCAACCTGGGTCTTGGTCTTTAAATGTCAGTCTCCCGGAGATTACTGTAGTCGGCTGGCTCAAAGGCAGGGCAGATGACAGCCTCTGGCCCATCTTGGGGAACGCTTAGAGACACCGCCTCCACCTCCGAGCGCAGGGCGCAAGCAGCTTCCGCGCGCCGTGCGCCCCCAGAGCGGATCTTGTGGGACAGGCTGGACACCTTTGCACGCAGCTGGGTCGTGGGTCTCTGCAGCGGCGCAAGCAGCTTCCACTCCCGGAGGGCCGAGGCTGGCTTTCGACGGCCGGAGACCGAAGCCTGTTCCTCGGACGTGCCTGCAGAACCAGGGCCCGGGTGTGCAGTGAGGGCCAGGGGGGCTCCCGGGGGTGCGACGAGCAGGCTGGGAGCACAGTCGGGGCGCTGGTCGCCTGTCGAGGCTCGCCAGTGGTGGCCATAGACGCGCCAGAGGCGGCGGCGGCGGCGCCGACATTGGCAGCGGAGGAGGCGGAGGAAGGCGCGCTTGAACTCGCGACTAGAGCAGGGGTAGATGAGCGGGTTCACACAGCTGTTGAAGTAGCCCAGCCAGAAGATGACCTTGAAGACACCCTCTGATGGCTTCAGCTGCGGGAACAGAGAGCCTGCAGGGGACAGAAACCCGGGTAGTTAACCGGTGGTGTGGATAGTGGGGAGATGGACAGTTGCCTACCTCAGAAAGCTTAGTCACTGGTAGGAGCTCTTAAGGGGAGGGGGGAGGGCTTTCTCTGTGAACATAGATGGCTGAAAGAAAGAATCATCTTCCTGTTTTCCGACCCGATAACTATTTGGGCACAGGCAACAAATCCTGACCAGAGCGAGACCAAACCATGCACAGCTGCGATTTCACCCCACAGCCTTGGCTGTGGAGCCCAGTTACTGGGGTTGGTGTGGAGGACTCTTTGTGGCCCCCTTTTTTGCAGAGGGCGCCCTAGCATCGTGTTCTGTACAGTGTTGATGAGGAAGCACAATTCATTTGCAATCTTTTGTACGCTGTTTTATGACACTCTCTCTGCAGTATACGCTACTGCCTAAGCACAAAGAGATAGAAGACCAGAATTGAGGGGTGAACAAAGTTTGCCCAGTGCTGGGTACCGGTGGAGGAGTCATGAAACGTGGTGCTGGCTCTCGGTGACAGAGTGGCTCAGGGACACCTCCCACCCATCCCAGACTGAGCTAGGACAGGATAGGCATGGAGCCAGTGGCTGTAGAATGAACTCATAACACCTCATGTAGGCTCTATAATGGAGGGCCTTGAATGAAGGCTCAGCTTTCACTCTGTGGGTAGTTAGGAGCCATGGGTATTTTGAAGCTGGTCGGAGATACAGTTCAGAATTACACTTCAAGAGCGCACCACCCATGGCTGTAAAATTGCAGGGCAAGTGGTGAAGAAACGCTTCTGGCATGGCTTCGGATGGGGGACAGAACACCAGGCGGGTAGGGATGGGTGCTAAGACCCTGTTTCCCACAAACCTCTTCCCTAGGAGCCCAGCATGGACCCTAAGGAAGCCCCTCTCAGGGAAAGGGGACCGAGTGCAAAGGTATAGTCCAGAAGCTACTTTCTTGTCTGCCTCATGCTCAGCAGAAACTGGGGCTAGGTGCTTCATTCTAGACACAGAAGGACAGTGTGCCCTCTCCCCACGGGCAGAAGTACTATACCCCACTCATTAACCACGTTGCATATCACCTATTTCCCATGTGGGGAAACTGTTCCAGATGCTAAGAGATGGTGGGAGGCGGGAGGGCAGCACCCACCACATAGCCCAGCTTTTGCAGTTTCTCATGTCGTCCTCAGCAGGCTACTCAGCAGGCCACTGAGAGTCTCTCTCTCTCCCTCTCTCTCTCTCTCTTCTGTGAATGGAGGCAGTAACCCTCCTCTGGATGGATTTCATGAAGATTTATAAATTTCAGGGCTCAATGCCTAGCAGAATTTTAACCCAAACATATTGGGCTGGGAGTATAGATCAGCGCTAGAGAACTCACCAAACACTTGAGAGCCCCTGGGTTCAATCCCCAGGAGAGCAAACCATCAACCCACCCACCCACTCACCCACCTCTGGAATCCACTCACCCTCCTCCGCACTTTACAGAAAGGGCACCACAGCCTGGGGAAATGAACCTGCCATTTATATCTAGAGAGTGGTCAGAAACAGTAACTCAATACAGTCGGTTTGTGGGCACCGGGACCTAGTAAACCCAGGAGAGGGGTTAGGCAGTCTCTGGAAAATTCCAGAAGGACCTTACCCTGCAGGAGGATAGCCCTCAAGAACAGCACCTCTCAAAGGCTGCAAAGTCAGGCCAAGTGCTGGAAATAACACTGACTCAGACTCAGTCTTTTCTATTTTGCGTGGATGACACATCCGCGGACTATGCTTCCCAGTGGTTGTTGCCAGCCTGGGTTTTATTCAGATTTGTGGACAACATGACATGTTTTAGTACTGCTCCAGTCTCACTGCAAACACTGACTCTTTAATTTATGCACAGCTGACTTGTCCAGAGTCTTCCTGGAACGGGGGAATTCCTCACACTCGAAGGGGCTGGGATTCAAGGGCAGCCTTCCAGTTCCAGCAGTTGCCCTCTGCCTCCCTTGGGGTCTGACTCTGAGTTCCCCCCAGAAGCAGGCTCTGGGACAGGGTTCAAGTGCGAGTCTTTAGCCTGGGAGGGAAACACCTTGCGTAGGTGCTGACACAAGGGGAAGGGATACTAGTAAGTCAGTTGCGAATGTGGGAAACTGAGGCTCACCCCCAAGGGGCTCTCTGCCCCCCTCAGTGGGGAGGGATGTGAGTATCTACCTCTCATTCCCATCACTCTCTGGCTGCTTTCTTTAGCTATTAATTTTTCCCACTTTCTGGACAGACTACAGTGCTTTGGGAGCCGCTGGGTAAGTGATGCTGTCAGGCACTCAGGATCGGGTGGGTGCAAACTGAAAGTCCAAGGGAGGTGGGTGGTCCCTCAGCCTCCACCATAACTGGCTCTTACTCCTTCTGACCACTGTGTGCAGAAACAGTGCTTAGAAAAACCAGGCATCCTGCTGCAGATTGCAAATTCCAGGGCACCAGGTCTTGGGAGATATTTCCTGTTATGGTCCCAGATGAGGAGCATAGTAGCAAGTGAGGATCAGACCACTTCTTCCTGGGATGGAGCGCCAGCTGCCGCCTCCCAGCACCCCTCACTCTTCCTCCTGTCATAGTCTCCCTCCTCTCCTTACTGTCCACACAGCTCTCACACCTTGCAAGGATCTCTGGGGTCGGAAGGGGGGCAGGCACACTCCCTCCCTGTTGCATAATATGTGTGAGATGGGGAACCCTGAAAATGGGTTTCCACACAGTAGCTGGGGGTCCTTGGCAAGCATGAGCCAGAGCTATTCTAGTCTTTACTTACAGGGGCTGCACACTGCTCATTGCAGCCCCACATCCTCCCTCCCACCCCTCGCTCTCTTTTTAAAATATTTTTTTCTTATTTTACATATTGATCCCAGTTCCCTCTCCCTCCCACCCTCCCATGTCCCCCACAGACTCCCCCATCCCATCCCCCATTCACTCCCCAGGGATCCTCCCTATCTTTTCCCTTATCGGTACTGTGACCATCATTTGCCAGCACCGTAGATTGTTCCCAGGGTCTGCCTTCTTCTCTGCTTAGTGGGCACTCGCGTTTGCCAGCATCTCAGCCGTTTCCTTCATCGCCCTCATCCAGCCAGAGCCTAACCTATGAACCACAGAATCACACCCTGAACATGCATGGCGCCCTGATGTTGGTTGTGTAATAGGCTCCCACTCTTTCTTCCCCCCAGCTCTGTTCTAATGTCCTCATTCCCTCCCATCTCTGTCTCCCCAGCTCTGGGATTTCATGCTCTCACCTCTATGTCCAGCCCTTTACGCAGGGGCTGGGGACCGAATTAGGTCCCCATGCTTGCATGGTGAGCCCTTTACCTGCTGAGCAATCTCAGAAATGACCATGCTTGTCCCCTGCTCAAACCCCTCCAGCAGCTCCTCTGTTTCCTCAAGGTAATGGTGTGTGTGTGTGTGTGTTCTTATGTGTACAACTCCACATACCTCACCCCTCTCTGTTGCAGCCGTTGTCTTCCTTGTTGCTTCTCACCCACCCTGGACCTTAGTGCTCCCCCCAGAATCATCTTCCGTCATCTCTGCTGTAAGGCTGCTCAGACCCTGCACCGGACTGGATGTCTCCATGTTGCTTACCTCTCACTTAGCTCTGCTGTGACCCAGTACTGACCACTCTCTCCAATACTGCTGGAGTCACTCTTCATCTCTGTCCTCCACCCCTTCCACCCTGGGCAGGCGACTCCAGGGCAGGAATTCTGTCTACTTAGCTTGCCTGGAGCCCCTTTCAGCTCCGTTTGCTTAGATGACTGCAGCATCCCTGACACCCTCCAGCCCCCATCTGTCCCCTCCAATCTGCACACAGCTGCAGGGAGACATTTTCTTAAAGATGGGTTCTCCCCTTTGCTCTGTCCCTTTTCAGTGGCACCCCTCAGCACTAAGAACATGCTAAAGTTCCCATAACACACGGAGACGCAGAATGGCTTCTGCTTTCCTCCGATTTCACATTTAGCCCCAAGCAGGCCCTCCTCCTTGGGCCTCACTCTAGCTCTTCATCTCTCACCCCTCCCTGCTCAGTTTCCAAACACCTGGCTTGGTTGTACCCATGTGCCTTCTGGGGAGTCCTGTATGAGGGTGGCTAGTTCCCTGTTGAAGGTGTGCTCCCCAGTCTTCGAAGTTAACTGAGGGGTGGTGGAATGTCTGAGTGGGGACTAGCTAGAGGATTTTAGGTCACGGGGAGTGTGGTCCCTCTTCTGCTTCCCAGCCACTCAAGGATTCCATGCTGCCTCACCACATGCCCCAGACATGGGCCAACCAATCACAGACTGCAGCCTTCCAAACAGTGACCCAAAGGAAAGCTTTCTCTTTTCCACTTAGCTACCTTAGGATTTGTCATAGAGGCTGCAGCACTGACTAATACTGATGTGGTGTAAGATCTAGCTTAGTGTGCTTCAGTGTGGGCATTGCTGGTCAGAAAAGGGCCTGTCTGATCACCAGGTAACCTTGCTGGCTGGCCCAGATGGACACACGCTGGAGAAAAGAAGGCAGGGCTGGCTCTTTGCTGCCTGGTTTATCCCAGGCCAGTGTTACTCCCTAAGAGGAGCTGCTAAGATTTGGGGTAAGACAAGAGAGGTACACGAGCAAATAGGTCAAGCCCTGAGGCCGATGGGCAGCTCTGTGATTAACAACCTTTTCTGGCATTCCCAGAAAGGAGCGTGTCCTTGGCATGTTGTCAAAATTCACAGCCAGCCCTGAGCAGACGTTGTAGCCGGCCATGAAGTATCAGCCTTGCCCCTTTTTTCTGCCCGTCCGCCACCAGTGACTTCTTTTGACAGCATGCTCTTTCTCTGGCTGAGAGATACTAGGAGTTAAAAATCCGCCATCTTCTGATACTCATGCTTCCTCCCACCAGCAGGGTCAGGAGAGAAGGAATGTAAACCCCAGATAACCCCTATCTCCCAGCTCTCCAGTTGGCCATTTAGTGGCTTATACTGGCACTCACAGTCCCTTCTCCCCAAGGGACTCTGGACCTCTGTCCCTTGCAG